AGGACACTGTCAATGGCAATTACAAGAATAATCAATCCATGAGTTAGATTGGGGCAAGGAAAGTTGCACAAATGATAGACGCAAAAACATACATAAAAGATGAGAGCCACTATTGGATTTCACTAATTGCAAAAGGACTTTTAGAGATGGTAAAGAGGAAAGAGTGAGCAAAAATGAGGTTTTGTAAATATTATAACAGCCACGTGCTATCACAAGCTAATGGAAAGCAACGGAGTGCTAACGGCATAAATATAGTTAGTCAATTATCATAAAACTCAAGGGTATTTTGTGGGGGGTTTTGTAGACAGTAGGGCTACTACAAGTCCATTTCCTCAAGCTTATGACTAGTATAAGTATTTTACCCCCCAAAAAATGTTATTGGATAGTAGAGGGGGAGCTTAAGTATTTAACCCCTCCAAAAAAGTTCAATTATTAAAGCACCCCCTATAAACTATAGTTTCATGGATTTACCTAGCCTACCCTATAAGCTATAACTTGCATACTAAAACACCTAGGGCAGTCAACAAGTTCAGGTTTAGCTGGAACTGGGACCGATCGGACAAGAAATATTAAGGGATTGGAATTAAACCAGACCCAATAGAGTCTATAATTTTAGACCCAAAATCGGACCAATCTATTCTCAATACAATTGGGTCTAACCTGATGGATGGACTCAATTACAATAAATATGCTAAAAATATTATACACACATATGTATATTTATAGTGGGTCAGGTTTGAGTCGATTTAGGACTATGTAGAACTGATTTCGAACTGATAATAATCAAGACAATATACCAAGAACCAAAATTGATCCATCAGTACTAGATCCTGGAACCAGAACTAGTCCAATTGGTTTGGGTTTGTTAGGTTGGACTTGACCCATTGACAACCCTAAAACACCCTCATAGTTCACTTCGACCTTTCATTTAGAACATTTTGTATTTGCATTGCTGTCTCAAAATGGTCACATGACCACTTATAGGTCCTAAACCTAGCATAAAAATGTTAGAAGGGCATTGGCCCATGATTATTTAGTCCTAAAGTGCCCCTATTACTTCATGACAATCTTTTAAAAATGAAAGGAAGTTTGGTTTTTAGGGTCCATTTGGTTTGCAACCGGAATTGGAATGATCTATTCTCCTTGCTTGTTTGATTCAGACAAAAATTGGAATAAGTTAGAATGGGATTCTCATTCCCAAGCAAGGGGGAGGGAATGGGCAATCCCTTAAAGGAGGGAATGCCATTCCATTAGGAATGGGAATCATATTTTGATTCCACCCAACCAAATGGTTGGAATTGGGATAGCCCTCATTATTGCAAACTAAATAGACCCATAGATCTAAAAAAACAAAAAAAAAAAAACAATAGTGTCCAAGTTATTTGTTTACAAATAACATATCTCTCTTCTTGGAGTAGAGAACAAAATTGTCCATACAAAGTGGTTAAAACATTTACCAAGGGAAAAAAATGGAACTTCCATTTGTTATTTTGTATATTAAAGTTGTTTGAATAGACATTATGATAAAAACCAACATTTTCTACTTCCGTCTAATGAAAGGTTGATTAAGTAAATTGATTGCAAACCATAGGGTATGTTTAAGTAAAATGCAAACTATAGGTAGGTTTTATTAAATTATAAAATTATAGGGATGTTTTAGTAAATGACTCAATAAGTTAATATTATAATTGTATACACACATATATATATATATATATATATTAATTATTATTGTTCATGGATTAATGACTTAACACTCAAAGAAAATAGATCTATAGGGTTGGGGAGGGTTTGGGTGTAGGCATTGGAGGGTTGAGGTAAACTAGTATCGAACCTGACCCGTTGACATCCTGGCTACATTCAATTTTTAAGTGAGACATGCAAAGAAAAAAAGGTTTGTCATTGGCTCATGGGCCTATTTTGTAGGCCCATCTAACAATCAGTCCATGCCTAATGACCAATCCAAAATCTAGTCGACTACCTACATAGTTTTTTAGGCCTTTTTGGCACCAATTTTGAAAATTTTCATTCTTAGAATTCTTCTAAAAAATAATAGTTTTTAAGAAATTTCATTCAAAGAATTTGTAGACGTATTTGGCATAATCATCTGATTCATGTTCCTCGTTACCCCATGTATGATGATAGTTAACAACCAATATGTATCAAAATATGCTTTATATATAAATCTTAGTTTTCAGTTAAGATCTTTTCTTATTCAAAGCTTTAATGGATGCCATCACAGTTCTATTATTTTTATCAGTATAATATTCTATTCCTACAATATTTGGCCTTTAGTAATTCTGGCAATTACATAGTTTGGTGGGGTTTCAGTTTAATTCTTTATTAAGAACAACTCACTTTTGGAAATGGGAAAGTTTCATTTACTTTACCTTTTTAACCATTATTCTATAGAGTCTATAGACCATTCATAAAATTCATTATACTTTGAATCTCACAATAGTTGTCTTACATCTTTTATTCCACATATTAAAATCTAAACAACAGACATATATTAAAATCTAAGCAATAGACGTACTTTAATGTTACAAGGTAACTGTTTAGTTGACAATTGAGCCATTTTGGAAGATATATATTGGTTCACCATCCCTGATAACTTAAACATTAATTCCAATTTGTTTGTAATTATAAACCCTTAATTAGTGATTAGTAAGGCATATGTGGCCAGGGTGGGTTTAGTGGTTGTGTTGAACCATCTATTATCTGAGGGGAGATTTAGGTGATGACTGAGCAACAAAAGCAAACATTGCAATCAAAGGGTGTTTGTTTGGGGAGACAAGGAGTGTTGAAGATAGGATGGAAAGAATGGAAAACAATTAGAAAAAAAAAAATTGAAATGCATAGCCCAAACACAAATGAGAAAAAAGAAATGATATTTCTTGGGCAAATGTGAAAATTAGAAATTGTATTATCAATATTAAAAGTTCAGGGGAAAGAAAACAAGAATTTAAATATTTATGTCAAGTTTATGGTTTAAAATATAAACATTTTATATTAGATGTTAAATATAAATGGAATTCTACATATGCTATACTAGAAAGTTGTTTTTCTCATAAACAAATTCTTACTGATTTTTATAATGCAAAAATGCCTAATGATATTATATTTGAGGAAGACCGGGAAATGGTAGTTTGTATAAGAGATTTTTTAAAATATTTTTATGATGCAACTAATGAATTATCAGGTATTTATTATCCAACTAGTTGTAATTTACATTATCAATTAATGGTTTTTAGTGATTGCTTTGCAAAATATAGAAATAATCCACAATTTAAATGTATTGTTGAAATAATGGAAAATAAATTTAAAAAATATTGGGAGAACATTTCTCCCTTTTATTGCTTAGCTACAATATTAGATCCTAGGATTAGGAAAGATGGTTTAGATATTTTACTTGAAGCATGTTGTGAAAATATGAATATTGAAATTGGAAATAAAAAAGAAGAAATTAATAATTTATTATTTGAAATGTACAGTTTATATGAATCTGAAGGAGTAGGAAATAAACCTACAACTTGTACAACATCTTCTACTTCTGATCTTGAGCCCAGTGGTAGAAGATAATTTTTTTTTTATTTAATAAGTAGAAGGCAGAAACCTGCTATTTCTACAACAAGTTCATTTACTAAACTTAATTTTTATTTACAAGCAAATTTTTCTAGTTTAGGTGAGGGAACAAATAATTTTGATATTTTAGCATTGTGGAGTGAACATTAGAAAAAATAATCCAGTTCTCGCCGTCATGGCACATGATCTACTAACCCCTCCGGTGTCTACTGTTCCATCGGAGTCTTGTTTTAGTGTAGGTACCACGGTGTTGGGCAACAAAAGAAGTTTCATGAACAATGAAAGTATAGAGATGTGCATCTGCTTTAAGGATTGACTGGATATAGAAGATAGATAGATTACAAGACAAATGAGGGCATGATACTACACCGGATATTTCACCTGAAGTAGATGATGAAAATTCATGAACAATAGTTGACTAGTTGTATAGAATTTTTATTTTTTTTTCAAATTATTGTAAATTTTGTTTTAATTTTATTTAATTTATTTGCTATTTTTTAACAATGTAACTTTGTATTTTCAATTTGTAACTATATTGTATTTTTTATATTTTATTATTTTATTCAATTTTCATATTTCATTCATCCAAGTATCCAACCATTGTAATATTGTATGATTTGTAATTTGTATCATTCAAATTTAAATAAAATAAAATTCCTATTTTCTTCCAATTTGTTATTCCATCATTCTTATTTGGTTAAGTATTTTCTCATTTATGTATTAGATTTATCATTTCTTAATTTTTCAAATAATTCCCAAAACTCAAAAGAAAGTAAAATATTTTAGTTTTACACTTTTACTTAAAAAATAAATTAAAAATAAAAAAAACAAAAAAAAGTCAAAAAATCAATCTAGCCCAATTTGATTCAGGCCCAAGGCCCACCATGTGGCCCAGCCCAACACGGCTTGGCCTGCAGCCCGCGGCGTGGCACGACACAGCATGGGTCTGGGCCGTGGACTATGCCGTGACACCCCCAAAATTTTCACCGAAAAGGGCATTATGACCCATGACGGCCCATGGGCCAGCATGGCACCGGCACTTTGCGCGGGCCGTGGCCGTGCACGGCACACTTGACACCTCTACTACTACTAAGGACGTTACGAGAATTGCATTGGGCGAGTTCTCATTCTCACAAGTCACCCTTTTTTAACTTCGAAGAATCTCACTCGCTTGTAGGGAATTTCTCATCCCATTTGAATAAGAATCGATGGTTTATGAGTTATGTGAATCAAGCACGATTCTCATCAGGAGAATCAAAAGAATCGCTAGTGATGGCAAACAAGGCCTTAACAACTACACGAGGAAGGGCATTTAGGTCAAATTGTCTTCCAAAACGGGTCGGTTCGCGGAAGATGTCTAGGGCGGCATATTTTCGTCTATAAATACCCCTCGAGGGGCCTCAAATCTCGTTTTTCAAGACTCTCGCGGTCTCTCTTCTCTGAGAAGGCGATTCACGAGCATGTGACGGGAGAGAGATAGGGAGGAGGATCAAAGCTTTCCTCTCTACAAAAGCCGAAAAAGCTACTAAAACCCAAATCAATCACTAACCAAGAAACAGAGTAGTAACATATTGCAAGCAACCTCTATTTAGACATTTTTCTCTTATTCTTTTCAAACCCTAATTCATTATACTTTTTAGTTTTGTTCTGAATTCTCGCACGATCTGTCGCCATGGATACGCGATTTCCATACTCCCCAGCGGAGGTCTCCAAAGTCCGCCGGGTTCAGTTTGGTATACTCAGCCCCGACGTGATCGTAATGTCCTAACTCTCTTGCTTCGTCGCTTTCTAGGGTTTTCCGGTTTTGCTCTCGCTTCTTACTCGCTGTGGTTTCCTTGTTTTGGTCTTCTCGCAGAGGCAAATGTCGGTGGTGCAGATCGAGCACAGCGAGACGACCGAGAAGGGTAAGCCGAAGCCAGGTGGTTTGAGCGACACTCGTCTCGGTACAATTGACCGAAAGATGAAGTGTGAGACCTGTATGGCGAACATGGCGGAGTGCCCTGGGCACTTTGGGCACCTGGAGCTCGCCAAGCCCATGTTCCATATCGGTTTCATGAAGACTGTTCTCAGTATTATGCGCTGCGTCTGCTTCAATTGCTCTAAAATTCTCGCCGACGAGGTACTTATTGAAGAATATTCTTCGTTGAATACTGGATTTCTTCCTTGTAGGTTTGGGAGTTAGTTATTTAGCTTATCATAAACCGAATCAAATTTGGTTATGATACTATTTGGGTTCACTAGTGGAATTACTACCTTTGGGCCTAAAGGAAGTTCTGGACAGAAACTGTACGTTGGGAAAAAAATAACTTCGATGCAAATAGAGGTGAATAGGGTCAATCCACTTACCTTAGAGCTCAGAATGAACTAGCACCTAATTGTGTTCAGAGAATTGGATTACCAATGGTTAAAACTTAAAAGTAGAAGGGTGGGATAATAAAAGAACTTGCTAAGCATCTAGTAACTTGTATGTGCAGAAAAATTTTAGGTGGATACATTTGTTAACTAGGAGGCACGGATGTTTTGCATCTGATCTGAACCATTCATAAAAAAACTGAAGATTTCAGCTGAACCTGATATAGTCTACATGCCCACCTTGAACAGCTTGAAGAAATAGGACCAAATTGGAGTTGTGAAACTGCATTGAAACAACAGATGAAGAATATCTTCCTCTCCAGCAAGACACAGCAAATGCCTATTTGGAAACTGATAACCTCTGATCTTTACAATGTCTTGAGTTAGGATACAGCCTCTGGCAATCAGCCATGGAAAGGCTTCTACCCTTGGGGGTATTGGTTTCCCCCCCCCAAACACCCCTAACTGGATCAGGTAGAACCTTTAATAACGATAAGTGATAAACTGGCAGGTTTGAAAGAACACTTTTAATCAGAGCGATTTTCCCTGTGAAGGATAGGAATTTCCCCTTCCAGCCCACCAACCTTTGATCAATTCTGTCAAAAACAGGTTGCCATAGAGGTGGCAACAACTCCAGCCCCAATTGGAAGTCCTGAATAAGAGAATGGGAATTCCCCAAGCAGACATCCCATTGATCCAGCACATTCCTCTGACACTGAATGCTGAATATCTCCCACCCTATCATTATGCTCTTACTTAGAATAATCTTAAGACCAGACAGCAATTGGAAACACTTAAGAGTACTCCTCAGGAAATGGGCCTTCTCCACTGATGCACCCATAAAGTTTAAGGTGTCATCAGCATATTGCAGGTGAGATATGGTCAATCCATTTCTCTCAATCTTGAACCCATAAATCAGTCCCACTTCTCTACCCTTGTCAATCAGTTCTCCCAACACCTCCACCACCAATACCAAAAGCATTGGGGAGAGAGGATCCCCTTGCCTCAAATCCCTTGAAGAACCAAAGAAATCAGTTGAAACCCCATTTTTCAAAACTGAAAATGACACTGAAGATGCACAAGCAAAAATCCGGCTCCTCCATCTTTTCCCGAAGCTCATCCTCCTCGTCACTTCTTCCAAAAAGCCCAACTCCATATGATCATAAACTTTCTCTACGAATTTCACTTGGTTTATGTGAACGAAATTTCCTTTTCTGTCTTCTTAACTGGGTGGTTGGATAGACTTTCTCAGTTACGAGTAACAAGACTTGCATAGGACTTTCCAATTGGAGTTTGAACTTCTTCACAGGGTCTCATTGATCCCCTCCTTTCTGTGAAGCATTAAATTGTGTCACTTAGTCCATTTGTTTGGATATAGTGTTCATTATTCATTTTCCTTTTTTAATTTTTCCTTACTGCACTCTTATACTTCTGTCATGTTAAATTTTGTACGTAAGAGTGATTAATAGAGAGTTAGAGTTTCCTACTCTTTTTCCTTTTCCCCCTTATTGTTTCCATCTTTTAGAACTGTGGTTTGGTCTTTTCATGAAAAAAAAAACACAAAACCATTTGAGTATGCTGGACTTGGCATGTGAAGTCCATCTAGATGGTTTCGGTCAAAGAATGCAGCTATCTTTATGCAGAGGATATAAAAATAACAGTCTGTATTGTGATGTTAATTATGTATCTCAGAGGGAAGATAGAAGCTTGGATTCACATGCATATGATTTATTCTGAAATTATTATTTTGCTTGTTTTTCCAACTAGCTGTAGACAGATCTTAAAGATAAGGATGCTTTTCTACAAACATTTCAATAATTTCATGGTAATTAGAATTTCTATCATTTCCAATAAAAAATTAGAATTTCTCACATGGAGACATTCCAAGTGAGCCATTTTCTTTTTCTTTGGTAATGTTTACCATAACAACTTTTCCTGCAATTTCCTCTGTTTTGTGTAGTTACATGTGGTTGATTATGTTTCAGGTGGCTAATAATTCTAGGAGGGTCAGAACAGGGAAATGGAAAATAGTTAAATGAGGGCCACTGAATGGGTTTCCCTGTTTTGCTGATGTTGTGCTGACAAAAACAAAGGAGTTGCTAAATACCACCTTAATTGCTTTAAAAATGCTAACCCCAATCTATGCTTTCTCATATCTGGTGCTTTTAATAGTTTGTATATATGACCACTTAAATTTTTACCTGTTGGCACTTAGTTCTAAGTGTGTTATTGGATGAGTGGTGTCCTTGAGATATTGTAGCTTGTAAAAATGTAGGTTCCTGATAGTCTCTCAATCTCTCTATTTGAACATGGCTTTTTTTTGGTATTTTATGGTGCTTTTGATTTTGAAAAAAATTCTGAATCTTATTAAATTCTTAAATGTTGCATTTCTTTGAATATGACTTTTTCAGGAAGATCACAAGTTCAAGCAGGCTCAAAGAATTAGAAATCCAAAGAACAGGCTAAAGAAGGTTTTGGATGCCTGTAAGAATAAAACTAAATGTGAAGGTGGTGATGAAATTGAGGTCCAAGGACAAGACACTGGAGAACCAATTAAAAAGAGGCGAGGGGGTTGTGGTGCTCAACAGCCAAAGCTTACTATTGAAGGTATGAAAATGATTGCAGAGTACAAGGCTCAGAGGAAGAAAAATGATGACCAGGAACAGCTTCCTGAACCTGTTGAAAGAAAACAACAGCTTTCTGCAGAAAGGGTAACTAACTCTGCAAATGGTTCTTGTCATTCTTCTCCACCCCCGCTCCTCTGCCCTCCTGCTCTCTCGTCTTCTGTCACTTCTCTTCTGTAATATTACCATTATGTTGAATATATATATATATTTTTTCAGGTTCTAAGTGTTCTGAAGAGGATAAGTGATGAAGACTGCATATTGTTAGGTTTGAATCCTGAATATGCTCGCCCTGATTGGATGATACTACAAGTTCTTCCAATTCCTCCGCCTCCTGTTAGACCGTCTGTGATGATGGATACTTCATCCAGGAGTGAGGCATGCCTTATCTACTATGCTTCTCCCATTTTGTTCAAAAGTACTGTGTTTAATTGAAAATGCCATCATTGGGAAAAGTTATTGCTTTTATGTTGTTCTATAGGAAAACTTTTCTGTGGGGTGAGACATTGAAATATTTTTTTGACAATATTTATACTACTTCTGATATATTGGTTTTATATATTTTAAATCTTGAACCAGGATGACTTGACTCATCAGTTGGCAATGATCATTAGACACAATGAGAATCTGAGGAGACAGGAGAGAAATGGAGCTCCTGCACACATCATCTCAGAATTTGCACAATTACTGCAGTTCCATATAGCCACATATTTTGATAATGAGCTGCCTGGCCAGCCAAGGGTATGCATTCATGGCTAATGTCTAAATACTTGCATGAGCTTTTTGCAATTTGTTTTTGAACAACTAGCAATTTCGTTGTGTTCAGGCCACACAGCGGTCAGGGCGACCAATTAAATCAATATGTAGTAGGCTGAAGGCTAAGGAGGGTCGCATAAGAGGTAACTTAATGGGAAAGCGTGTCGATTTTTCAGCACGGACTGTCATCACACCTGATCCGACCATTAATATTGATGAATTGGGAGTTCCTTGGAGTATTGCTTTAAACTTGACATATCCAGAGACTGTGACACCATACAACATTGAAAGGTCTAGATCTTATACTCATTTTGTTTTAGTTGTACTATTTGATATCTTGCTAGTTATCAAGTGACAGCCAAACTTGCCAGGTTGAAAGAACTTGTTGAATATGGACCTCATCCGCCACCTGGTAAAACTGGTGCCAAGTACATCATAAGAGAAGATGGACAGAGGCTTGATCTTCGCTACTTAAAGAAAAGTAGTGATCATCATTTGGAGCTTGGATACAAGGTAAGTTTTTGTCCTTTTTTTCTGATCAGTTCTTGGTTAAAATTTAAATCATGGTTTTATAATCATATTTAAATATGTTGCATCTTGGTTGCAGGTGGAACGACACTTACAAGATGGGGACTTTGTTCTATTCAACCGACAACCTAGTCTTCACAAAATGTCCATTATGGGACACAGAATCAAGATTATGCCCTACTCGACATTCCGCTTGAACTTGTCTGTTACTTCTCCATATAATGCTGATTTTGATGGAGATGAGATGAACATGCATGTTCCTCAATCATTTGAAACAAGGGCAGAAGTCTTGGAGCTAATGATGGTGCCAAAGTGCATTGTGTCACCCCAGTCAAATCGGCCTGTTATGGGGATTGTCCAAGATACACTTTTAGGATGCCGTAAGATCACTAAAAGGGATACTTTTATAGAGAAGGTGATGGATGTGAAAATTCTATGCTAAATATTCTATTTATTCAATGTGGATTCCCTCATAGAAGGGTTTGTCAATCTGATACATCATTGGTTTTATGCTTTCTTTCCTCTCTCCAGGATGTCTTCATGAACATTTTGATGTGGTGGGAGGATTTTGATGGGAAAATTCCTGCTCCTGCAATTCTGAAACCTAGACCCCTTTGGACTGGGAAACAAGTATTTAATCTTATAATTCCTAAGCAGATAAATCTCATGAGGACATCGGCTTGGCACTCTGAATCTGAAACAGGATTTATAACCCCAGGAGATACTCAAGTTCGAATAGAGAGGGGGGAGCTTCTTACAGGCACTCTTTGCAAAAAGACCCTTGGAACATCTACTGGTAGTCTTATTCATGTGATCTGGTAAGTACACCCTAAATATCTACATATATGTACAAGTGTTGTGACCCCCGAAATAGGGGACTTTTTCAGGTGTGCAGTCCTCCAGTCCATATCGGCTACAACCTCACCTTGTATTGGTGGTTCCCCAAAATATTAGCTGTTCAAAGTTGTAGATTTGTAGTTTTTTATATTATTTTTGCCCATAAAGAAGGGCTTATTCTTTACATGTGGCAAGTTCTTTGGGGCTAAAATTTGCCCCTTGAATAAAGGCCAGTAAGGCAAAGATATGGGCCCATTTGGTCTCCCCAAGGTTCTAAATTTGGACATGATTGCAGGTGGCTGATATGCCTTTTTAAAGGCTTTTCCCAAATCTCTATTGTTTTTATATGTTAAAACAATGTTTAAATTGTTCCCTGATCAAAATGACAAAGTAAAAAGAATGAGTTTTTATAGTACGGAAACACTTGATATACATGTACACACATATTGGGTGTATCGATACTTTGAACCTTGGGTCTCCCAATTAAATTACCACATGGATGATTACTGGGTCATATTAGGGACACTCACTGAACAACTTGACTATATATATTCCTACATTATCTCAAGCATATGTTTGTGCAGGGAAGAAGTTGGACCAGATGCTGCTCGCAAATTTCTTGGTCACACACAATGGCTTGTTAATTATTGGCTTCTGCAGAATGGTTTCAGTATTGGAATTGGAGATACAATTGCTGATGCTGCTACTATGGAAAAAATTAATGAGACAATTTCTAAAGCAAAAAATGAAGTGAAAGAACTTATTAGGGCTGCCCAAGAAAGGCAATTGGAGGCTGAACCTGGACGAACTATGATGGAATCATTTGAAAATAGAGTGAATCAGGTGTGCAGAGGCTGTTTCTGTGTTCTATGCCATTCCGTCCCATTTATTCATCTTTTTCTTTGTTACTTTTTATGTCAGTCTGTCCCTTTTATTTATTTAACAAGCTTTCAACTTTTCAGGTGTTGAATAAAGCTCGTGATGATGCTGGAAGTAGTGCACAGAAGAGCTTATCTGAAAGTAACAATCTTAAGGCTATGGTTACTGCAGGGTCAAAGGGAAGTTTCATTAATATTTCACAAATGACTGCTTGTGTCGGACAACAGAACGTTGAGGGTAAGCGAATCCCATATGGGTTCATTGATCGGACATTGCCCCATTTCACTAAAGATGACTATGGACCTGAAAGTCGTGGCTTTGTGGAAAACTCATATTTGCGTGGGTTGACCCCACAAGAGTTCTTTTTTCATGCCATGGGTGGTAGGGAAGGATTGATTGATACGGCTGTAAAAACTTCTGAGACTGGGTACATCCAGAGGCGACTTGTGAAGGCTATGGAAGATATTATGGTCAAATATGATGGAACTGTCAGGAATTCATTGGGGGATGTTATTCAGTTTCTCTATGGTGAAGACGGTATGGATGCTGTATGGATTGAGACACAGAAACTGGACTCGTTGAAAATGAGGAAATCCGAGTTTGATAAAGTTTTTAGATATGAAATTGATGATGAGAACTGGAACCCAAGTTACATGTTACCAGAACATGTTGAGGATCTGAAAACCATAAGAGAGTTCCGGAATGTGTTTGATGCAGAAGTTCAAAAATTGGAAGCAGATCGATACCAGCTTGGCACAGAGATTGCAACCACTGGTGATAATAACTGGCCCATGCCTGTGAACCTTAAGAGGTTGATTTGGAATGCACAGAAGACTTTTAAGGTGGACCTGAGAAGGCCGTCTGATATGCATCCAATGGAGATTGTTGAAGCTGTTGATAAACTCCAGGAGAGACTGAAGGTTGTTCCTGGTGATGATTTTCTGAGCATGGAAGCTCAAAAGAATGCCACTCTCTTCTTCAACATCTTGCTTCGAAGCACATTTGCCAGCAAGAGGGTGTTGAAAGAATACCGGCTTACTCGTGAAGCATTTGAGTGGGTTATTGGTGAGATAGAATCTCGTTTCTTACAGTCATTAGTTGCCCCAGGAGAAATGATTGGGTGTGTTGCTGCTCAGTCCATTGGTGAACCTGCCACTCAGATGACTTTGAATACCTTCCACTATGCTGGTGTTAGTGCGAAAAACGTCACTCTGGGTGTTCCCAGGTTGAGGGAAATTATTAATGTGGCGAAGAAAATTAAGACTCCTTCACTGTCAGTCTACCTGAAGCCTGAAGTAAACAAGACAAAGGAAAGGGCCAAGAATGTCCAATGTGCCCTGGAGTACACTACTTTGCGGAGTGTGACACAGGCTACTGAAGTATGGTATGATCCAGACCCCATGAGCACCATAATTGAAGAGGATGTTGATTTTGTAAAGTCCTACTATGAAATGCCAGATGAAGAGGTTGCTCCTGAGAAGATTTCTCCCTGGCTGCTTCGTATAGAGTTAAATCGTGAAATGATGGTGGATAAGAAGTTGAGTATGGCTGACATTGCAGAGAAGATTAATCTTGAGTTTGATGATGATTTGACATGTATATTTAATGATGACAATGCTGAAAAGCTTATTCTTCGTATACGTATAATGAATGATGAAGCTCCCAAGGGGGAATTGCAGGATGAATCTGCTGAAGATGATGTTTTCCTAAAAAAGATAGAAAGTAACATGCTGACAGAAATGGCCCTTAGAGGCATTCCAGATATCAACAAGGTGTTCATCAAGTCAGGAAAGGTAAATAAGTTTGATGAAAGTGAGGGATTCAAGCCAGAGGTTGAGTGGATGCTGGACACTGAAGGTGTCAATCTTTTAGCTGTCATGTGCCATGAAGATGTTGATGCCACAAGGACAACAAGCAACCACTTGATTGAAGTGATTGAAGTTCTTGGTATCGAGGCTGTTCGTCGTGCTTTGCTGGATGAATTGCGAGTTGTTATATCTTTTGATGGATCTTATGTGAACTACAGGCACCTTGCTATTCTTTGTGACACCATGACCTACCGAGGTCACTTAATGGCCATCACTCGTCATGGTATTAATCGAAATGATACAGGACCAATGATGAGATGCTCATTTGAGGAAACTGTGGACATCCTTCTGGATGCTGCCGTGTATGCCGAGACAGATTGCCTCAGGGGTGTTACTGAAAATATCATGCTAGGTCAGCTTGCTCCTATTGGCACTGGAGATTGTGCCCTGTATTTGAATGATCAGATGCTGCAGCAAGCCATTGAACTCCAACTTCCTAGTTATATGGAAGGCCTGGACTTTGGCATGACACCTTCACGATCCCCCATTATGGGAACTCCATATAATGAGGGAATGATGTCTCCGAGTTATTTGCTCAGCCCGAATGCTCGTCTTTCACCCATTACCGATGCTCAATTTTCTCCTTATGTTGGTGGAATGGCATTCTCCCCTACTTCATCCCCAGGCTACAGTCCATCTTCTCCAGGCTACAGTCCATCCTCTCCTGGTTATAGTCCTACCTCCCCTGGTTATAGTCCTACCTCTCCTGGCTATAGTCCTACTTCACCTGGTTATAGTCCCACATCCCCAACATACAGTCCTAGCTCTCCTGGTTACAGTCCTACTAGTCCTGCATATTCTCCTACCAGTCCATCTTACTCCCCCACTTCACCTAGTTATAGCCCTACATCTCCCAGCTATAGTCCTACGTCTCCTAGTTATAGTCCTACATCTCCAAGTTATAGCCCCACTTCTCCTAGTTACAGCCCTACTTCACCCAGCTACAGCCCCACTTCTCCAGTCTATAGTCCTACTTCTCCTGCTTATAGCCCTACTTCTCCTGCTTATAGTCCAACTTCACCATCATACAGCCCAACCTCACCATCGTATAGCCCAACCTCACCATCGTATAGCCCAACCTCACCTTCTTACAGCCCAACCTCTCCATCATACAGCCCAACCTCTCCTGCTTATAGCCCAACTTCTCCTGGCTACAGTCCAACCTCCCCAAGCTACAGCCCAACCTCACCAAGCTACAGTCCTACTTCTCCAAGTTACAATCCTCCATCAGCGAAGTACAGTCCTTCACTGGCATATTCTCCAAGCAGTCCCAGACTGTCACCATCCAGTCCATATAGTCAGACATCTCCAAACTACAGGTATATCACAAGTCACTATTTTTCAATTCTAAATTCTGAATCTCTCAGCCATGCTTTTAGTCTGTTAACTTTTAATTTTGTGCATTGGATCTTGGATGACAAGTTTCCCAACCACAGCCAACTCAGAGTCTCAGCTGTATTGCTGCAGCTGAACCCTGTTTGTTTTTCCCCTTTTGCTTTTGTTTTTTTTTTTCTGCTTTTTCTCCCAATTGTATGGCAATTGTAACAAGTGGACAACCATTTGGGTGTGGCAGGCTTGTTTGGTTCTTATATACTTATTGTTTGTTTGCCCTCTTTTCTTTTGCTGCAGCCCAACATCACCGTCATATTCACCAACATCACCATCTTATTCGCCTCCAAGCCCCACTTACAGTCCCAGCAGGTAGTATCTATTTTATTTTATGTTTTTACAATAGATTTGCCGCTTTCTTTTCACCAATTACTACATTGAAACTGTTTTGGAATCATCATTGCATGTCCACCACCACAATCATCTTTCTACCTGTAGTTTTTGATCAATGAACCATACCCTAAATATTTTTGCCCTGTTGGAAAGTATTCTTTGCCTTTTAGCATAATAATATAAACCGGGACAGGAATTTTGTCAAGGTCAGATAATAACCATGGACAAAAGTAATTTGGTTTGCTTCTTTTTTCTCCCCCTGCAGCCCATTCAATTCTGGTATCAGCCCAGACTACAGCCCAAGCTCTCCACAGTACAGGTAAGTCGACCCCCAGCCCCCCAGCTAAAAGAAGAGAAAAGGGAAAAAAAAGGACGTCTAAATTGGTTTTAACTTGTCTTTCTTTAATTCCTCAGCCCAAGTGCGGGGTACTCGCCAACAGCACCAGGATACTCACCTTCATCTACCAGTCAGTACACCCCTCAGCTTAGCAACAAGGACGAGGGGAGCACTCGTTGAGGCACAAGTTGTCATCCACATCTTCTTAGGAACAAGGACGAGGGGAGCACTGTCTTGTGTAGATTGAGGGACGGCTGTAATCAAAGTTTGTGCAAGTTGCTTGTAGCCGGCAAGTAAATTGCTGGTTTGAGACCCATACAGTTCTATGGATTTCTACTAGCAATGTAATTGTGGACCATGAGTTTCTGGAACGTCTAATGACTGTCCTAATTAGCAGGAAGAATTCATAGAAAGGATGGTTGTTTGCCAGATGATCATGGATGAGGTGTTTGTGTTGTGCCCCAGAACGTTTTTACTCAAGCCTCTGGGGGATAATAGCTAATTGCTTACTGGTGGCTTGTGGCTAGGCTAGAGCTAGGTTCCCCCGTCTGGCCCCGTCCATCCACAGAGAGAGAGAGAGAGATTTGATAGGGATCAACTTGATTGTAAAATGTCCTGCCGAAATTAAACCTATTTATCCAGAATGTATTCGTATGGTTGGTGGCTATCGGGGCACTTAAGAGAAGTGTATGATATAAGTACTGTCTGTATCAGCAATTGATTATTGATGTTAGAAGAAATACATTGGACCATTTGGAACAACGGCTCATCTTGTGTTAAGCTACGCTATGTAAGTCCTACTAGAGGCCCTGATAAATTACTCTTGCCACTATACATTATACATTTTCAATGAGAAGGAAAATATGGCCTCCTACCCCACCCCCACCCCAGTCCATCATGACTCTTGAATTCTTGCCTATTCTTCCCATATTTTCATACCCATCAGCTCTTAGGCCCTGTTTGTATGACCTGATGTCTGACGTTTGAAAGTACAATAATTTATTCTCCCAATAAAGTACAATAATCAGCTCTTAGATTCCTCTTAAAAGTAAGAGTTAGGAGGTTATTTTCCACGTGAACCAGTCAGACATTCGAAACATCTATGAATGACGACCAGTACACGGGAGATGGAGATGCCCCTGATGTGTGGCTCTATGGACCAAATGATAATTAGGATTACATCAGCATTAAATGTGATGCCCACATGGTACCGAGTTCATTGGCCCAGTATTATTACCAGAAAATACAGTTTGAGCTATGACTTACGAGAGGAGCTGTAGTTTGATGCAAGGTTCAAAGTATTTATACTATCGGCCCCTATTTTAGCTTTCACTTATTTTTTCGATTTTGGTTCAGAGGGGCTGATTTAAGTTCTGGTTACTTTCTGAATCAGCTCTAACAATTTTTTGAACCTTGGTTTGATGTGGGATGCATTGTCGGATGTGATGTTAAACATGGATTGGAATATGCTAAAAACCGGTTGGTAGAATAACAAATGTTGTAACACCAACCAGAATGGGGATATCGCAAGGCTTTAGGTTTCAAACTATCGATATCACAAAGAATATTAAAAGAAAAGCAATTTTAAGAAGTATATGAGGGTATGTTTGTGCAAATGCATGGATACAATATAAATGGTTAAGAAACATAGAGATATAACAAGAAAACTCGATAAATTTCAAAAACATATTAGTGACTATATATCCGATGCTCATGTGACAAAGATTAGGGTGCATACATATAAATATAATTGGCGAACATTTTAATTTTCGTTTGATCTATTGTAGTATTATGTATGAATTATCATACTCAGACAAATGTGCATGTATTATGCTTAAATCTTATTAATACAAATACAAAAAGATCTTTTCTTCGTCCCTCGTAGTGTGAAAAGACGATACTTATCGGCCCTGATCACGATAGTTTAAAATAATCTTCTTTTTAATTTTCAAATTCAAAACAAAGAGAAAATAAAATCATACAACTCTTTCCCACTAAGTCTGGATTTCATGCCAATAAGGGCCTGTTTGGTTTGCGGGAATAGGGTTTGGAATCGGAATCTTATTTTAATCCTGGCAGAATGGCATTCCCCCATTTGAGGGGATGACCATTCCCTCCGCCTTCCCTGGGATTTATTCCAGCTGATTTTAATTCTAATTTCAATTCTTATCTGAACCAAACAGACTACAGGAATAGACCATTTCAATCCTGATTCTGACGGATTTTGATTCTGATTCTGATTCCGATTCCAATTCTAACTGTAAACCAAACGAACCCTAAAATACATGTCAACACCCTATCAACATGATGCCATGATCTAACACTACACATCTCATACATGGTGGGTCCCAGTTTAATGGTGAGATGTGCGATGTCAGATCACGCTGGTAGGGTGTTGGAACATGTTTTGTTGGTAGGAGATCCCAACTCCTCTCACCAACCTCACTTAAAGAAGAAAATAGAAATCAATTACCAAGTGACAACACTGACTCCCACCGATGAAATGCTAGCACCAACAAAGAAGACCTACACTCCATTTGCCATTCTGATGAGATCATAAGAATTGGGATCTGCTCTTCACATACTGCGCCTCGCACTGACTTCACAGCCACATCCCACCCTGTATTGGGAACATCTCCCCATGAATAATAAATTCAAGGATGAGAGATGTTTCCGATGTGTGCCCAAAACATGCTGTGAGATCGGTGTAAGGCGCTCACTGTAATGTGCATCAATCTCCATCAGTTCCTTCACTTTAATGTGCATCACCTGGTCTTTCGTATACTCTTTTATTTTTGGTCGACCATCAATCTCAGATGGGATCCAAGGGTCTAAAATGTATACATCTTGACCATTTTGAACCTACCAAAACAGGTTGTTTTTTAACTGGTTTAATGTATCAATCACTGTCTTCCACCATTTTGAGTCACTTGATTTTTTATGAAGAAAAGAATATAGATTTGTTTTTGATGTACTTTCTTCAGATAGCCTCTGCCCATAGGCCAGAGTCCTGTTTAAAAAATAGGGCCTTGTTAATTGGCTCCAAGATATTGTATGAATACTTCTTTTTTCAGAAGCACCTTCCCACCAGAATCTTCTTTGTATTCTTTCCATTTCAGCAATTGTTCTTTTATGGAGTATATTTGCTGACATGGCATAAGTTGGGACAGCTTGTAAAACTGATTTGATCAGGTTGTTTTTCCTGTTTGAGATAGAAGTTTTGCCTTCCTAGCAGCTTACTTACTGTTCATTTTGTCTATAACCTCCTGGTGGCAGTTATATGTTCTGTCTTGAAGATTTAGACTGACCCCTAGATATTCTCTTGATTTGGCATTTGTTTCATTTGTAGGAGGTAAAATAAGAAATTTCTTTTTCTTCTGTGAATTCTCCTATAAAAATAAACCCCTGATTTTGAATAGTTTATTTTCTCCCCCCACCAACTTGCAAATACTTTTAAACCTGATGGTTTCTCTCCATTCTTCTATGAGATTTTGGCCCATTATCAAAAATGATGTTTGTAAAATTATTAGAGACTAGCAAAGTGTTTGGTTCTCAAATATTGTTTACATCCTTAAAGTGAAACACCCTGAGAAAATCTGTCAATACAGACTAGCAAAGTGTTTGGTTCTCAAAATGCAAAAGATACTGGACAATGTAATTGCTCCAAATCAAGCAGCATTTATGAAAGGAAGACAAAGGCTTGATAATATTTTGGCTCAGGAGATTGTAAATAAGATGAAAAAAGCAGAAAAAAGGGGGAAAGGATGGGTTTTCCTTCCTTAAAATTGACATGTCAATATACCCGAAACAATGAAGGAAATGGGATTTGATTTGAGGAGAAATGGTGCAAAATGGTAGAATATTGCATCACGACACCAAGATTCTCTATAAAGATTAATGGGATAATGAAGGAATTCTTTTCTCTGGAAAATGGGGCAAAGCAAGGGACCCATTATCTCCTTACTTATTCATGCAAGTTTTATCCTATTTGTTCAATAAAGCTGAACAGAATGGAACAAATGAAAAGTATAGAGATAATTAGGGGGTCTTTGTAAGCTGTTTTTTTTTGGGTTCTCTGAAAGAATTATAAGTTTGAAACCCCAACAAGTTTCACTGCAAGAAGAGAAAAAAAAAAGGAATTTTTTGACCTAAAGACGGGAGTCATGTATTTGTGTGCTGCATGTCAGGTCTGATTAATGAAGCAGTTGACAGCAGAACAACTCTGCATCACTGGCGCTCGGCATAGTGGCTATTGGCTATTGTTATTGCAGCAGGCCAGCGGCCAGTAGCCAGGAGGGGACAAGTACGACTCCAGTGGAGTTGGAGACCTCGACACTCGACACTCGACACTCGACACTCGACACTCGACACTCGACAGTGCGTGTGTCAAACTGCCAATGACACATACAGAGCGCCCGCCGTACGCCTTCTCATGTCGTCTGTCTCTAAAATCTCTGCTCTAACTTCACTTACTCCCCCTCTCAGTCGCTCAGTCTCTCACAGTCTCAGACTCTTATGATCCTCATCTCAGCGGAGGCGGCAGCAGTAGTAGTAGAGGACGATTGCCTTTGGCATGTCCCCTTGTCCCTTTGTCCCTTTAATGAGATTTCATTATCATATGTTCTGGGAATTTACTTTAATCACCAGAAGAAAGACAAAAAGGAGACCATAACCCCTATTCCCCCTCAATAACCTGCACCTACGTTTGTAATAGGAAATAAGGTGAGAAGGGGTTTTACAACTTAGAACACTTCATCTTTTAATTTAATGAAAGCAAGGGGGAAAAATTGAGCTTCAGGATGATTACTGTTGGGTGGTTGTATTCAAAATTTTCCTTTTCCTATTTTTTTTTCTTCTTTTTGTTCAAGGGGTTAATGAGGCGGTTGCAAGAGAGGTTCACCCTTGTTTGTTATTAGATTAGTGAAGTCACCTTTGGTTTGGATTGCATGTTGTAATTAAGCATGTGTTTGGTTTAGTGGGCATTTATGTTTTCTGTTTTTATTATTTGGTTGGGTTTCACTTTAAACGTTTTTTACTTTCCACCTTTGATTAATACCTATTAAAATATGCCACATCGTTTCAAGAAGCGCCGGGGCATTGGGGGAAACAAGAATTTGACGTTTACTCAAATGCTCCATGCACAAAAATCAAAACTTTTCAGTTTTCTACCATTTATTTGATAAATGGTGAAACCAAATAGTTGTTTCATTTTGTATCATTTGCAATAAATGCCAACGCCTATGTGACGTGTTTTTTTCAATAAACGCTTACGGAACCAAACACACTCTAAACTACAACTTTGATCATTTTCCTTTCCAATTTACCTTGATTAGTAGCTTAGCGGTATATCATTATGGGCAGGCCTATCAATGATACCCACAAATCCTTAGTCATAACTGATTATATTGGATTCAGATGATATGTTTATGTAATCAGATTAGATTTAGATTTTGCAATTTGCATTTGATTAATAATCAGATTGCATTTCCATCTGATTAAATTATAATACTTATTGGTTTTAATATATAAATTGTACACATTTATATTTGAAGTTATAAAAAATATATTTTTATATATTATATTATATATGAATTTATATATATAATAAATTCAATATATTATATTTACATTAATTTATTATATATAAGAGTTGAAAAGTAATTAACTTTTTATTTTTTTGCATTAAAAAATAAAATAAAATCGAATTAAACCTGAACCCAATATAAATTCATTGGGATACGGATGCAAGTGATTCAGATTTTATTGAATCTTATCCATATTCTAATCTTTACTTTCAACAATTGGGTCATGGAGATAATGTGCACTGAAAATAACTTTTTTTTCCAAGCATTTGGCAGATTAACTAAAATATAAGTAATCACTTAGGCTCAGTTTGGTAAGAGTATAAATGCAAATATGTATAACGCAAATACATATAAAATAATACAAAATATTAGGCTCAGTTTGAAAAGAGTATAAATACAAATATGTAGAGTGCAAAACCATTTATTTTGTATGTATTTTCACTGTACATATTTGTATTTATATTCTTTCTAAACTGAGCCTTATTTTATATGTATTAATTTGTACTCTGTACATATTTGAAGGAGTATAAATACAAATATGTAGAATGCAAAACTTTACATTTTATATTATTTTGTATGTATTTGTACTCCTAAACTGAGTCTTATCAGTTAATTAATTAGAATCATATCAAGTCCTAAAACAACTTTTTTTTTTATGTAAAACATCAGCTCCTAAAACATTAGGCTCAGTTTGGAAAGGATATAAATACAAATATACACAAAATAATACAAAATACAGGGTTTTTCAATCTACATGTGCTCCTTCCAAACTGAACTTGTCAAGTGCAAAATTATATCTCACATACTAGTCAGTTTTGCCTCTAAAATCATGCTTTGAAAATTAAAATGGGAAATGAAATAAAATCAACATTAGGGTGGTATTTAGCAGCCTCAAAATGTAAAATTATAGTGGTTTGGGTCTGAGCCAAAAATGCATGGTTGGTTGTTTGGTCATTCCTTTGACCAATCCATCCTTTTCTATTTCTTCATACATAAATCTTAATCCCTATCATCACTCAAGCTTATCTCACATCTCTTGACAAATATCCACAACACAACGTCACAAGACTCACAACCCATTTATATTTTTAGCTAGAGTCCTTCATTCATCCTTCATCCTTCTCAATCATCAAATTTCAACTTTCGTTCATAAACCAGCAAGAGAGAGAGAGAAAGAAAGAGAGAGCTCATACAAGAAAAACAAGCTAAGGGCGATTTAATTGGTTGTAATTCGATAATAATGGAGAAACCAGCGAAGAAATCAATGAGCAGGCTCTTATCCTTCCTACCAAAAGCCACCGCGGTTATCTTTCAAAACCCACCCTTCAGCCCCGGCCGCGACAAGAGGTCAGAGAATTCAAGCAAGTTCAAATCCAATATCGGCAAAGGTTTCTCAGGTCCAATAGTTTCCATAATTCCAGTCGAAGCTCGAACCAAATCGAAGAATGGCAACTTCGACTCACAGGAGCCCACTTCGCCCAAGGTTTCATGCATCGGCCAGATCAAGAACAAGAAGAAGATGTGCAGATCCAAATCTAAGCGTGTAGCTCCACCTCCCCAAGACTCCAGACATGTATCGGTGTTGCCACCTCGAGACACAAAAAAGAAGCCATCTTCGACGATCCGTAGTATATTTCACGGTGTAAGAACAGGTAAGAGAACTGTTGTTTCTGTTGACAAGAAGCCAGAAGTTGCAGACAGAGCACCTTCTCTGGGCCAGATGAAGCGGTTTGCCAGCGGCCGCAATGCGTTCGCCAATTTCGACTGGAGGGAGAATGAGTCGTTGGATTTGGATCCCGACGACGAGGAGATGGAAGAGAGTGATGGAGAAGATGAGGTTATCGTCCCCCACTCTGCACCCATAATGATAGGTGGTGGAAGAGTGGCTTCGGAGCCAAATAAAGAAATTAATCTCTGGAAAAGAAGAACTATTTCTCCACCTGCACCTCTTCAACTCACCAAAATGGGCAAATGAACTTAATTGGTCTGATTCTTGGGTTTTTCTTTGTTTTCCTTTTACAATTCTTTTTGGAGCTTTAATGGTGAAATGATCATGAACAAATTAAGTGCAGAAGTTTTGTATGATCAGTAGTTCGATTTTTATTTGCATATATGATATATACCCAGTACCTTATTACTTCATGTGCATAATTTATCATTCGTTAATTGCTTTTTTTAGTGATTGATCCAAACTCCAAACAACAATGGTTGGACTCCTTATCAACAAGAACAACCATGGCGATTAATTTCTTCTGAGATTTAGGAACACTACTAATTTCCTAAAAGAAATACCCATGTCCATGGCTCCATGGGCACCCCTTGTTTGTCGCAGACGGAAGTACAGACAGATGTGTCAAAGAAGACTTCCATTAAACAAAAACTCAGACGCCCTTTTTGAATACTCGCTCAGACGATGCCTCTTGATTCCATGAGACATCGCAGATTTGAGCGCTCTTCTGTTCTGCTGCCTTGGAAGCTCCGGCGTTGGTGTTTGACCCGTATGTACGGTCTACGAGGAGCGACCGTTGTTCTTCGTTCACACTTCACATTGCACGAGGGAAGGGTGTGGGAAGCGGGAATAACTAACCATTTGATCGCAGAACATGTCAAAGCAGATGAAATTTGAAGTGAGATGGTACGAGTAGATGGATCGGCGGGTGGGCTCGTGACTCGCCAATTTTGCGCGGTTGTCATTTATCCATGTCATAGGCGTAGAAGATGGATTTGGACTTAAATACCTTTGGGCCAGTTTTAGACAGAGACCCAATTGAAGTTGAGACCGGATCACCAGAACCCACTCCTCCAACCATGGTTTTAAAAAACGATTTGGAAACAGAATCGTTTTGGACATCGGGTTTTGGGTTTACGGTTTGATTATCCCCGTTTGAATGGATGATCTATTCTGATAAAAAAATTAAAAAAATAAAAAACGGCCAAAAACCGTTGAACGGGTTGATGGTTCGACTACCCAAGTCAATGGGTCGTTGACTAATTCAATGGTTTTTGGCCAGGGAACGGGTTTGGGGTAAAATGAAATTGGTTGCCTAGACAGTTCTCGGGCTGAATGATTCGACCGTTCGGGTCAATGGTGGTTCGAAAACCATGCCTCCAACCCTCTACCAATGTGCTTTGTGTTGGGAATTGGGGTCACTGAAACTTGGAGGAGAAGCTCTGAGGCGCGTCTGAAGACATTGTCTTTAGAACGTTATTTGCCCCGACTCAGTTCTACTGAGTTTGCTATTTGGTTACAAGCAAATCCGTTCTCAAGATACAACAGAACCTTAAGCGACAATCTACAACTAGTAAAGTTGAAGAGTCTCCGAAAAAACCTTCTGTGAGAGTAGTGCTTTTTGATAGTTAATGACTATTAACTTTGAATAGTGCTTTTTGATCAAACCAGATCGAATCATGGCCATTAAAACATCAACGATCAGCCTTGCACCAAAAGTCAAAACTGCCATTTGCGAATAAAGTGCACCTCATTGCGCCACACACACGCACTCGCATGTTCCATAGTAGCAGGCCTCCATACTCTCCTCTTTATATGATTATATTTAAGGCGCACATTGCAGATAACAAGCCTCCATACTCTTTTCTAGTGTAAAACAAGTCTTATAATTTTTCAATATGGGACAAGTTAAAAAATGATTTTAATAAGAGAAAAAACTATTTTTCAAAATATATGTACATATGTATTTTTCATGTAATTGATAAATCAAATCCCATTAAATTTAATCTCTAATACATTAAAATCCAACATTTTATTTGCAGAAGATCCCAATTCATTGAAGTTTCCATGTTCTCATCCTGGCCTATCACCCGCTACGTTGGCCATCTACATAAAGCACGAGGGGGAACTCATTTGCCTTGGCTAGTTGGGCTATTTAAATCCTGGAAAGACGTACGACCACGTCTGCTTCTCATATGAACCCGGATCTGATGTAGACCTACAATTAATGACTTTGTTGTAGACCCAACATTGATCGCCACCTATTCTTTGCATAGGTGGTGGTCTTCTCTTGTGTGGTTTACTTAATATAACCCACCGTTAGGCTAACAGTGATATAGCCCAAAATTCCATCTTATTTTCACTCTCCTTCCCCCAAAACCTAATCTACAAGTTTACAATCAGAACACTTTAATTAAAAAAATCCTGGAAATTCCTACATAAGGCAATACGAACAAAGATAGCTGAAAGAAGAGAAGATATTTGGTGCACCTCTTTTAAGTTGCACCCAGAAACCCAAAATCATCTTTTCTTGCAATGCCTTCTCTCTAGGGCTGTCTGGATGTAAGTCCAAGTTAGGTTCATGCCGGAGGCTTTTCTAAACTCGGGATAGAAAGACTTGATGGAATGGTGGTGGTGGTACAATAGCTATATTAAGGACAAAGCCCTAAAGTACACTTGTCTTGCAAAAATTTTTGCTATTCTCAGAAGCATATGAGATGTGAGAAAAGATCATATTTTAAAAAATGGAAAACTAGATCCACTAATGATCCTGCACAAAGCTGATAACTACTGCATCTCTAGAGTCACTGAGCCACAAAACTCACACATGAATCTCCTCTTCTCGTTGTAGAAAGACAATCATGCATGGCAAGATCATATTAGTAGTTGAGCTCTGGGCAATAGTAAGAGGCTTACGTAATTTTTCTTTTTGTTTGGGTTACAACGAAGGCTTTTTGCTATCAGATGCCAATGAAGTACTTTTGAAATTAAGAGGAACTGATAAAAACGTCACTTGAGAACTTCAAGCGCTATATGATCATATATTTGATTTGTTGTTACTTTTTGATAATGTAAAGTTATTGTATGTAAATAGACAAATAGTTAAGCCAACTCATGAACTTGTTAAACAGGCTAGGCTTAAAAACACTTTTGTAAATAGAACCAATCCCCTTGCGTATTTACATGCATGATGTTAAAAGAATCCAATCCTATGAATTTCAAAGAAAGTCAGAGATTCCATATTTATTAACAACTGGGATATTTTTTACTTCTAATTGGATTTTTAATCTTTGTCTGATTAGATTACTATATAATATTGTTTGGAACGTAACCTAAAGATAGACAACTATTATACATTGATTCATTGTATGAACACTTTGAATGTATCTACGTTGGTAAGTGTTCATTGGATTTCTAGGCCGTTGTATACATTGATTCAACCAAAACAATCAGAACACTTTGAAGAATGATATTTGCATTGGGTAAGTGTTCATTTTACTTTGAACACAGGCATGTTTCCATAATATAAGTTAAATGGATTATTTGAATCTGATTTTCCCTTCTTTTGGCCGCTATTGTTTTTGACAAATAATTACACGAGTATTAAGACAAATAATTATTATATTATTTTGTTAAGATTTATATAATTTATATAATCACAACCATACTCACAAGGGGGACACGAATATCAATATCTGTATTCAAAGTGTTCTTGTTGCTTTGGTTGAGTTCATACAGAAGAAAACCAATAGATTAGGTATAGGGGAAGGAAGGGAGGATGGCAAAGAGATGATGCGTGAAAATAGGATGGGAAGAAAAACCTACAATTCTAGAATTCTTGGGCTATACAAATTAAAAAATAAATAACAAAATTATTCAGTTCGGATTTTCTGTTAATCTTTTCCTCCTCTCCTCTTTACTAACCCACTCAAATCAGGCCATCTGTTCCTATCTGTCCAATCTCCCAACAAATGTCCAACAAAGTTAACAGAGGTTAACTTTATTTTTTATGGATTAAACTTTTGGAAAAATAGATCTGATGGTGCGTAATCCGGCCGGTTTTATCTGTCAACGACCTTGCCTCTGAACGGAGCTACAAGGAACCTGAAACGGAGAAGATGAGGAAACTCCGGAGGGAACCCGGTGAGATTGCTCCGAAGCTCAAGTCAGAATTCTCTCAAAGGCAAGATAAAACCAGATGGCGCAAAGTTCACATACCTTGTTCTTGGGGGGTAGGGAGCCTTTTATAACCACCTCGCGCACTTACTCCTAAGCTTCTGTCAGGTCGGGTATGATTATCCCTGCGCTCCTGCCAGTTCGGGTGTCATAACCTCGGCTGGGACAGAACCGCCACTGCTCTCTTTGTCAGAGCCGTCTCTGCAACTAGAGATGGCGGTAGCAGGTGGCGGTGGCAGGTGGTCGTTGGAGTATGGCTGTTAGGCGTCAGATCCCAAGTCAGTCAGGTGCACTGCTCCTGGGTACGGACTTCCTCGGTGTCAGGTGTGGTACGGTTTGTTCAGTTTGGCGTCTTGGAGGCGAAGTGCTGGAGTGGTGAGCGAGGTGTAGTCTTGAGTTCGGATAGAGGTGTGTCCCGAACTGCCATGGGGTGGGCCAGTTTGGGTCATTGCCTTGTGTGAGGTTCGGGCTCCTGGTAGGGAGTTCGGACTGCTGGTTCCTCCCTTCGGTACTCACGCCTTGGGCGCGCTGTTGTGCCGAGCTGTTGCCTTTGCCACGTGTTGGGTGATTACGAGGTCGGGCCTAATCTTCCTTCATCAAGATCCTTATAGGTTGGCTAGTAGTCCATTGGTGAGTTGAGTTTTTATGTTTTTTTTTTTTTTTGATAAGTTCATTGGTGAGTTGATTATTCACTAGTTCAAGAGTTGAGTTTTTTTGATAATTCCATTGGTGAGTTGATTAGTCACTAGTTGGATGAAAGAAAGCAAAGCAGAAAGACTTGATCGGTCTAGCACAGTCTGAGTCCACTAGCTTTGAAGGCGTTTCAGAAGTTTTTGGCAATCTCTTATCAAGAGGTGACGAGAGAAGTAGCACCGGATGGCCGATCTTATTGTTTCTCCTATCGTCTCCCTTGTCATAGAAAAACTTGGTGAGTTGCTCGTTCAAGAAGCATTTTTCTTGTCTGACGTGAGAGAGAAGTCAAAGGGTTGCAATCTGAACTGGAATGGATGTTGATGCTTCTTAAAAGATGCAGAAGCGAGGCAGCAAAAAGATGAAATAATCTGGAACTGGGTTCAGGAAATCAGGGATGTTGCTTATGAGGTGGAGGATGTTATTGATATCTACGTGCAAGGGAGAAGGAGACGACGGAGCTTCACCCAGAATTGCTTTGGCATGGTCAACAAGGGGAAAGATCTATATAAGTTAAGAAA